GTCGCATCAGCTGTGGTCCTGTGAGTGTGGGGAGGGTTCCCTTCTTGAGTAGGGGGTCCTGTCATATCAGCTCTGGGACCTGTGAGTGTGGAAGCAGGTCCTTTCCTGAAACAGTTGGGAGTTGTGTCACATCAGCCATGGGAGAGTAGTGGGTCTGATAACGTCACAAATAATGACATATAACTATTTTCAAAGATGATCAGAGGAGAGAAATTACATAAAAGTGTTTTGTAGAATAAACACCTAACCTATGGAATACCAATAGGAACTTGTGTTATGTAATGGTCTCCTTCAAGGGCACATACTTTGTCTAATTTTTCTAAAGACAGTCTAAAGAAGTTTCTGAGGAATGATTTACTAACCTTATATGAAAATTCTAGAAAGGGAAGTCAGAGGCAGGCAGGCAGGAGACAGAAAATTAAACAAACAAAAACAGGGAGACAAAATTTCTTTAGTGTGGAGAAATATTGGTGAAAAGAATTTTTGAAACATTCCCTAGGAAAACCTTAGTACAACACACAGCTTGTCCACTGCATGTGTGATAGGTAAAGTACTATTGTAGGAATGCGGAAGGGGCAGGCTTACAGACAGAAAAAACAGGCTCTTGTGTTTAATAAATTTATAATCTACTGGCTAAGGCAATGAATAACTGTCAATGAAGAGACACAAAGGTGCAAGCTCCAGACTTCCATGTCCCAACTGCTGAGGTGAGAGCCTCAGTATTTGGGTGTATCATAGAAATCGCAAGGTTTGATAGGTAAAAAACCTGAATTCTTACTTTTCTCTCAAACCACTTTACTGGTAATTTTCTCCATTTCAGTGAATGGCACTACTCTCCATCAGTAACCCAGGCCAGATACCTAGAAGTCAGCCTTCATTCTGCTGTTTTCCTCAAGTCCAGAGACACTGACTTTTCTTAGATTCTTGACCATGAAGATGCCTCAGGGCCTTTGCACAACCCATTCACCCTGTAAGGTTCTTCATTTCCTCTGTTGAATGGCTGGATCATTCTCATCTCTTAAGTCTCAATTTAAGTGTCAACTTCTCAGGGAGGCCTTCCCAGGCCAACCTAATTCCAATAGGTTCCCCTATTTTTCCTCTCAAGTCCATCTGTCAAAGATTTACATTCCATTAAGACAGGACTCTCCCTTGTTAACCATTGTAATCACAGTACCTAGCAGTTCTTGGCACAGAGGTTGGAAGCACTTAAAAATTATCTGCAGAATGAATAACTGGGGCTGAGGGACGATGGTGCATTTGAGAAACTTGAAAAGACATTCAGTGTGGCTGGAACCCAGGGCTAGAGGGTGGAAAACAAAGCTGGGGAGGTGGGCAAAGGCCGGACAGCAAGGGCCCTGTAACAAACCATGTTAAGATGTTTAGACTTAAGTCTGAGGGAAAATAGCAGTGAGTGAAAGGTTTTAAATCCAGAGTGCTGATCAGATTTGAGCTTTATCAGCCTGGCATTGTGGAGATTGGCTTGGAAGGTACCAAGACTGTAAGGAAAACCAGCTGGGAGGCTATTGTCATAATTATGTAGCAGACACTGCGGGCGACTAGATGTGAACGATAAGGAAGGAATCTGGAAACCTTCCACGTTTCTGGTTTGTGTACACCGCTCAGTTAGTCACTTTTCCCTCTGGGCCATCAAAGCAGTTTGGAAAAGACCTATTTCCAGCAGATAATACTGTCACAGAGCAACTAGCTGAAAATATGTCTTGAGCACCTCAAAAGCTGGAGTATTACTTTTTCCTCTTCTGCATTTCCAGTTCCTGACGCTCATCCATGTGCAACTCGACAGCACAGTCAATGATCAATAAATGCTGGATGAGCGATTACAACAGCACTGTCTAAAATTAAAATGCTTGTCTTATTTGCTTTCAACCCTCACTCATGACCACCCTCTTATAGAAAGGCTAACTCCTTAAAAAATAACAAAGATGCTCTGAGTTTCATTCACATTGACATTAAGGGCTTCATTTGTGTGGGAAATAATATAATAACTGAAAAATAATAATATAAGAATAAATTGTGTTTTGTATACTCACAACTGTAAACCTACTTTTGCTTGACCAATATTTAAAAATCACTATAATAGAACTAATATTACTGTGAAAGTACAAAGAAGGCAGAAAGGCCCAGGAATGCTTCATGTAGGAAATGGCATTGAGTAACATCCTCTGGCCCTTTTCATTCATTTATTTATTCAGCTGTTAGGTACATGGTTGATGTACCTAACTAGAAGGCTGGGATGATTAAAGGCTTGGTTAGGCCTACCTCTGTTCTCTGTCAGAATGAAACTTGCACAGTTACAGTTTCTAAGTGTTTCTGTCTTTGTGTATTTGCTTGTTTGTTGTCTGCTTCTTTCATCAGACTATTGCACTGTGAGGGCAGTGACCATATCTAGCTTGTCCACTGCTGCAATGTCTGGCATTTATCCCAAGGTAGGCACTCAAGAAATACTTGAATAAGTGAATGAATGACTGTAATCACTTCCCTGTCATTTCCCTGCACATCCTATTAGCTCTGGGCAGTTGCTGTACAGGATGGAGAGGCAGTGGCAAAAGCACCTGAAAGTAATCAGAGAAGCAACTTGGTTGTGTCTGAACCTGCTGTCATTATTCTGAAATTTTGGTTTTAGCTAAGGATATCCTTTTCCCTTCCTTTATCTTTTTACATTGGCCTTATCATTCAGACCACATGAATGTTGAAAACAATGAGTAGTCTATAGATTATATTTTTAGGTTGATGATATAAAGTCTCTTGAGGCCATTGTATAGTGAAACCATGACAGGAAATTTGATGTTGGAGTTCCCCAAGAGGAAAAGAAAAAGCTTAGGCAGCTACTTTTTTTCAGTTGCTGCCTTTTGTGGATACCCTTCATATGGGGATTTTTGTTAAGTTTAATTTTTCAGAATGCTCAAATCCTCTAAAATTATGTACTAGTCAATAATCTCCAAAGAGAATGCTGTAGGTTCTGTTTCAGTGGTTCTCACAGTGTGATTCACAGAGGATCCTCCATGTGAAAGGAAATGCATTTTAGCATAAATTTAACATTGGTAATCAGGTAAAGATTGTGATCCCTGACATCTTCTCTCACCAGAGGGAAACAGGCAATGTAAAGTTTATAACTATTAGAATCTCACTTTGTGCAGTTTCTTTACACAGTACTGGAAGGAAAAGGGTAGAAATGGAATCTACTTTGTTAACTTCCATTAAATGCTGGGAGATGCTGATGGTCTTGGAACTCTTTCACCAGTTTAGTGGGGCTGTTAGCTCTTGAAATGTTCACAGTGTCAGTGCAGAATCAGTTATAAAAGGGTGGTAGTTGCAGCTGTTCAAAAGACTTATTTTTGTTGATTGCTATTATTTGAATACTGCTGCTGTCATACATTGGGTCCTTTGTCACTGGGATCTTTCCAGGGTGTATCATGATTTTGGAAAGTAAACAGTGTTTATGTGTTACCGGTGTAGCAATTGAAGAGAGATGGGTTTGAAATCCGGCTCATTAGACTTGCCATCCTCTCTCCTGGACCTTCCAGTTCCCTTCTGTTTACTCTTTCTCCCTTTCATTATCATCTCCTTCCCCAGGTTATCCTGCACAGAACAATCAGAGTGGTCTCTTAAAACATGAATCAGAATAAGTTTTAAAACTCTTTTCAAGCTTCCCATGGCTCTTTTTTTTTAAAAAAAAGATTTTATTTTTTTTGTTTTTAGAGAGGGAAAGGAGGGAGAAAGAGAGAGAGAAACATCAATGTGCAGTTGCTGGGGGTCAAGGCCTGCAACCCAGGCATGTGCCCTGACTGGGAATCAAACCTGCAACACTTTGGTTCACAGCCCATGCTCAATCCACTGAGCTACGTCAGCCAGGGCGTCCCACGGCTCTTAATATTAAATTCCCACTCCTTGCTGTGGCCTCCTCAGCCCTGGGCTTCATCCCATACTGTTACCCCTAGTTCACCAAGCTCCAGACTGTCTGTTCTTTCCGTTTCTCCAACATTCCAGGCGCTTTCTGGCCTCTGGGTCTTTGTGTTTCTGTTCCTTGTTTCTGGAGTTCTTCCCCTTACTGGCCCCTCCTTCAGGCTTTACTTCCAATGCCACCTCCTGGGAGAGGCCTTCTATGTTAGTTTTTTAGGGCTGTTGTAACAATGTGCCACAAACTTGGAGGCTTAAAGCAACAAAAATTTATTTTGTCAGAGATCTGGAAGCCAAAATTTTAAAACCAGGGTCTAGGCAAGATTGGTTTCTTCTCAGGGGCTCAGAGGGAGAATCTGTTCTGTGGCCCACTTCTAGTTTCTGGTGGTTGTGGGCAGTCCTTGGCTTGCAGCTGCATAATCCAGTGTTTTTCCTTTTGTCATCCCACGACTACCTTTTTAAAAAATATTATTTCTAGAGAGTGGGAGAGAGAGGGAGAGAAACATCAGTGTGAGAGGGACACATCTTTGGTTGCCTTTCATTTGCACTCTGGCTGGAGACCAAACCTGCAACCAATGTTTCCTGACCAGTAATCTAACCAGTGACTTTCCTTCTGCAGTATGATGCCCAGCCAACCAAGCCATACTGCTCAGGGCAGGATTATGTTTTCTTGGCTCATTTTCATCTTCACATGGCTTCTCCTTTCTGTATGTGTTTCTTTATCTCGTCTTTTCTTTTAAGGACACCAGTTAAAATGGTTTAAGGGCTCATTCTACTCCAGCATGATCTCATCTTACTTAATCATGTCTGCAGTGACCTGATTTCCAAATAAAGTCACATTCTGAGGAGCACAGTTTAACCCAGTGTACCTTCCCTGTCTCTTACCTTAAAGTCAGCTGCATTAGTGGAGCTGCATCTGTAAATATTCACAAGTTATTTATTTCTGGACATGGTAAGCAAGGCACTTCATTAGGGCACATTTCATGCACTGTACACCAATCTGGCACACAGTCCATGAACAGGAATGTAATTTAACTAGGACGTGAACAGCGTCATAAGGATTATAGAAACAGCGTTAAGTGGTTGAGAACTGAGGTTGCTCAGTTGGAGAAGAGATTTGGGAAGTCATTGGAGCCCTCTGCAGGAGGACTGTCCCTTCAGAGGAAGGCAAGTTACATGCATCGAAGGTCTGTACTCCTGTATATGAGAAGCATGGTTTTGCCTCTTAGAGGATGGGATGGGGACTATTGCATTACAGCAGATACTGTTTGTTAGTGGACAGGGACTGGCTTGGAGTGGGTCTGGTTGGCCTGTAGTGAGTGAGTTCTTGATTTTGTGTAGGAAAGATTTCACAAGAGGAGTCCATGTTTATTAAAGTGGGGGACAGTGAAACAAAGGAAGGACTTAGGGTAGAAGAAATAATAGGAGAGCCTAGGTATGCTTTGCTTTGGCTCCCTGAAAACGTTACAGGAAATGAGTGAGCCAAAGCAGGGCTGCTATTAGCTCACTGGGAAGTGAAGGTCACAGTGACAGAAGGGCTCTTAGCTCACTAGGAAGTTAGAGAAAAAGGAGGCCCTGGAGACAGGGTCAGGGGTAAGCCCGGGATGAACTGCTACTTCCCACTGCTCCCCTGGCTGCACGTCTCCTTGGGACTCTTAGAGTTTAGGAGGAAGCACAAAGTTCATGCCTGGGAAAGGGGCATGGGCATGCTCTAGAGTGAGCCTGCATCTGGTCTTTGTCTTGAGGGTTTTTATCTCTGCTGTTGGTGAGAATCTTAGGGGAGGGTTTCAGCAGAATATTCATTAGCTGTCCAGGTGTAGTTTTAATATGCTGACACATCAAAATGAACAGATAGGGGAGTTTGGGATTGTTCTTTGGTCTGCTTTACTGTTTTACTTATATCTTGGGTCTGCCTGATTTTTAATAGGGCTTTGTTATTTGTTCCTGTTACTTCCTCTGTCCTTGGGTTTGGCTGGGACAAATAGCATAAATTAGGTCTCAGTTCTCTGTCTCCCAGACCAGAGAGATTTAAGCTGTGTCTACTTGGTTAGGGAGGAGAGGCATAAACTCTTTGGTTTGGGAAGATATGGTCTTGTGATTCACTAGCTGACTGTAAGTTGTTAAATTGTTTGGCCTTGTTTAATTTTCTTATCTCAGCTCCCCTATTTCACTTGCCCAGGACTTTTGCACACTTCTCACTCTCCTGGAGACTCTCCAGTCTCCATACCAGCTTTCGTCTCCCAGAAGATCTGGCATGAAATATGATTACGGCAGTGCTAGTAGGAGAATGTTTTGCATGTACAGAAGCATTCAGAGCAATAGCTTACAAAGAAAGAAAACCATTAGTAATATATCATATTATATTTAAAAATATTAAAAAATAAAAACCTGTAAAGCTTTGTTTGATAACACACAGCATCACATCACTTTTATAAGATTACCTTTGAAATGGTTACATAATATATACATGAGTTCTGGCAACATTTTCCTCTCCTTAAAATGGAATAACTATACCATAGTTTAGATTCCCTTGCAAGTGAGCAAGTAGATTTTGGCAGCATTTGTCTGAGCTGGAGAGAACCTCATTGGTCTGGGTGTTCATGGTGACATGGAGATCAGGGATGACCTCAGTCCTCTTGCCCCTGCCCATCTGTCACAGCCTCTTTATGAAATTCCCATCCTAGTGTGATCCAGCCATGAAACTGCTCTCCCTGTAGCCCTGGGTTGTGGATTTCTGCTGGAGCAAACCGACAGCCAGGCAGGTTGTTGTGCCTGCAAATCCAGCCTTAACCTTCAGGGACCCCCTGAAGATTTAAGCATCAGTTCTTTTTTCCAGGCTATATTTTTCCCTCTGTCTCCCAACCATTGCCATACTGTGCTGTTTTGCTCTTTTAATAGATAGTCTCGCCCCCAGTGTCACTGATTAAAAAACTAAGATGTTGTGGAGAGGGTTTTAGCAGAATGCCTTCACTTCCCCTCTTTCCACTTAGAAATGTGTTTCCTTCTGCACCAACCTATTTCCCACTGGAGGAGGGGTTTCTCTCCTGTCCAGGTCAAACCCCTCCATCTGTGCTGTGGACCCCATTCCCTCCTACCACCTCAGGGGGTCCAATCACAAAATCCTCCTTTTCACCAATAGTCTTAACTAATCTATCTAATCACTTGTTACCCTTGGGCATTATACTTTTCCAGCTTCTTCCTTCTTCATAAAATTTTGTTGTTGAAAAAAATGTATTTTACATATTGATCAAATCAACATTTTGTAACACATTTAGGATTATAGAACTCAAGTTTGCTGTTGAATGAGCCATTATGCTATACCTTTTACAGGAGGCTATCATTCAGGTTAAATAACTGCACTGGCTGAGAGCCACAACTTTAGGTGCTTTCCAATCCTAAAATCTGTGACTAAATCTGTCATAAGATCAGGGATATTTCAGCTTATGTACTTCAGTGAAATGCTATTAGTCCTTCCCTGACCCTCCACCCAGATTCTGGCTTCTTGTGTATATTAATTTGTAGTTATTTATCTTGTTTCTACCTCTAGCAGAGGGCATATAGTTCCTGCTTCCTCAGCAGTCTGATTAAGCCTAAACTTGATGAACTGGTCTTGGATTTTATGCTTGGATTCTCCCTTAGGCATGTGATTTGTCACTGGGCAAAAGGCACCTCCAACTACAGCATTCTGCAACTCTGCCAAAGCCAGTAACAGACCCATGCAATAAAAGAACCCATATAAACTTGATCTTGGGAAGGTTGCTCTCCATTCTCATTGGTTTGAGTCATGCTGCTCTTTAAAGCTGGGTTTGGTCTGTTTTGATAACAATTGCAGGGCTAAGATGTATATGTACATTCCTTCATTCTCTACATATTCCCTGGTCTGCTATTTGCTAGATCTTATTCTGGTTTCTGGGAATTTAGCAATGGGCAAAACAGACTAAAGTCTTTCCCTCATAAAGGCTCTATTTCTAGTGGACTGATTTCATTCACCTCTGGTTTAGAGAGGTAATTTTAGATTTAAGTCAGACTTCTTTTTTCTTTTTATTGTAATTTCTGCATTACTATTTAGTCCCCTTATAGCCTTCTCTTCCCCCCAACCGCTGCCTGTTGTCCATGTCCATGAGTTCTTTTTCCTTTTTGCTCAATCCCTCCATGCCCTACCTGCCCCCCACAAGGTGTTATCTTGCTCTCTATGAGTCTGTCTCTATTTTGGTTGTTAGTTCAGTTTGTTCATTAGATTCTACATATGAGTGAAATCATGGCATTTGTCTTTCTCTGACTGGTTTATTTCACTTAACATAATGTTCCCCATGTCCATCCATACTGTTGCAAAGGATAAAACATTCTTCTTTATTATGGCCAAGTAGTATTCTGTTATGTAAATGTTTCATAGTTGTTTTATGCACTCATCTACTGATGGACACTTGAGCTGCTTCCATATCTTGACAATTGTAAACAACTCTGCACTGAACATAGAAGTGCTTATCCTTTTCTGAATCAGTGTTTTGGGTTCCTTCAGATATATTCCCAGAAGTGGGATCACTGGAACAAAAGGAAGATTCTTTTTTAATTTTTTGATGTATTTCCATACTGCTTTCCACAGTGGCTGCACCAATCTGTAGTCCCACCAATGGTGCAAAAGGGTTCTATTCTCCACATCCTCACCATCACTTGTTGTTTGTTGCTTTATTGATGATAGCTATTCTGACAGGTGTGAAATGATATCTCATTGAGGTTTTAACTTGCATTTCTCTGATAATTAGCAATGTTGAGCATCTTTTCATATGTCATTTGGCCATCTGCATATCATATTTGGAAAAAGGTTTATTCAGGTCATTTGCACATTTTTTAATAGTATTGTTTGTGTTTTTGGTGTCAAATTTTGTAAGTTCTTTATAAATTTTAGATATTAACCCCTTGTCAGCTATTTTGGCAAATATGTCCTTCCATTGTGTGGGTTATCTTTTTATTTTTTGATGTTTTCCTTTGCCATGCAAAAGTTTTTTAGTTTGATGTAGTCTCATTTGTTTATTTTTTTTTCTTTTGTTTCTTCTGCCTTGGGTGATATATCCAATAAAATATTGCTATGAGCAATGTCTGAGATTTTGCTGCCTATGTTTCCTTCTACAATTTTTATGCTTTTGGGTCTAATGTTTAAGTCTTTAATCCATTTAGAATATATTCTTGTGTGTGTTGTAAGAAGATCATCTAGTTTCATTTTTCTGAACGTATCTGTCCAGCTTTCTCAACACCACTTTTGAATAAATTATCTTAACCCATTTGATGTACTTGCTTCATCTATTGAATATTAACTGACCATAAAGCTGTGGGTTTATTTCTGGGCTTTCCACTCTGTTCTGTTTATCCATGTGTCTGTTTTTATGCTGGAACCAGGCTGTTTTGATTACTATGGCCTTATAGTATCATTTGATATTAGGTAGCATGATTCCTCCAAATTTGTTCTTCATTCTCAGGATCACTATTGTTATGTAGGGCCTTTTGTGGTTTCATATACATTTTTAAATATTTGTTCTAGTTCTGTGAAATACATCATTGGAATCTTGATAAGAATTGTGTTGAATCTATAGATTGTTTTGTGTAGCATGGATATTTTAATGATGTTAATTCTTCCTACCCATGAACCTGGTGTGTGCTTCCACTTATTTGTATCTTCTTTAATTTCTATCTACAGTGTCTTATAATTTTTGAAGTAGGTCTTCTATATCCTTAGTTAGGTTTATTCCTAGGTATTATATTCTTTTTGAAGCAATTGCAAATGGGATTGTTTTCTTAATTTCCCTTTTTGTTAGTTCATTATTGGCATATAAAATTGCAACTGATTTCTGGGTATTAACTTTGCATCCTGCTACTTTGCTGAATTCATGTATCATTTCCAGTAGTTTTCGGTGGAATATTTGGGGTTCTCTATGTATAGTATCATGTCATCTGCAAATAAAGACAGCTTTACTTCTTCCTTTCCAATTTGGATGCCTTTTGTTTCTTCTTTTATGATTGCTTTGGCTAGAACATCCAGTACTATGTTGAATAAGAGAGGTGAAAATGAACATCCTTTTCTTGTTTCCAATCTTAATGGGAACACTTGTAGTTTTTGCCCACTGAATATGATGCTGGCAGTGGGCTTGTCATATATGGCTTTTATTATGTTTAGGTATGCCCCCTCTATTCC